TCAGGATTTCGGCCCGCTTCGCGTTCAGTGGGGTGTAGTCAGTTCGGTCCGCTATTGGAGCTCGGAATGACTGATCCGGCTTTGTTCCCCGAGCTGCATCTTTTTTCTTTCGGCTATCCCCTTGGTTGGGAGGCTCTCCTTCCCTTTTCCTCTTCTCGGGTGCGCCCTCGCCCTTTTGGTTGATCTCTTCCTCCGTGGCTATAAACCTGTCCGCAAGCTTAAGAAATTCAGTTATGGTCACCGGTTGGTTGACGACTATGTGCCATTTGAACTCTTTATGCGTCACGCCTTTCTTGGCTGCTGCGAGGCACACGACGGGGTCCAAGCGCGGTATCTGCATACACGCATCATTGAACCACTTGATATAGCTTCGGATGGACTCTCCCTCTCTCTGCACTATGCTGAGGAGACTTTCTTCAGTTCGCAGGCACCGCTTGCTGGTGACGAAGTGGGACGTGAAGGCTTGCGCGAACTGCGCCCAACTTCTTATCGATCTAGGTGCCAGGTTCCGGTACCATGTACGAGCTGCTCCTCTAAAAGTGGTGGAGAAGGCAACACACATGCACGACTCACTAGCTCTCGCCAGGTGCATCTGCGATTGGAAAGCATCCATGTGATCATTTGGGTCGAACGACCACTCGTACTTGTCAAGAGGGGGGAGCTTGAAGTCTTAAGGCATTGGGACTGCCAGGAGCTCGGGAGATAGGGGAGACTGGACTGAAAGGAGGGGAGCCTTGGCATTGCCTGAGCTTACCTCTTCTTTGCCTCCGAGCTCGGGCAGGTCGTGGGTGGCAGATCGGCGAGCTCGGCGGCGGCGTTTCTGCTTCTTGGAGGGCTCGACGTTGGTGCTGCTCACCTCCGTGCTGTCAGGAATGGTGTGCACAGGAAGTAGCTCAGGCCGCTGTTGATGGCTGCGGACAGAGGGATCCTGTTTGGAGCCTGCAGCCATGATCTCAAACCGGTTCTCTAGGAACGGGGTATCGGGCTTCGAGGGCTGAGGAGATGTGGACCTGGCGAGCTGGGGTCCTCCTGATCTGACTGCCCGTGGTGAGGCCGGAGTGGCTGGTCTTCCTTGTTTGCTGCGGGAGGAGGCCTGTCTCCTAGGAGGGTTCTGGGGGGGCCTCTCCTTGGCGAGAAAGGTGCTCCTCCTGACGGCGAGACCTGGCTCGCTGCGAGGCTGGGCGCCGAGGAGGGAGCTGTGACTGTTGAAGCTGAGGTTGGGGCAGCTGAGGGAATTGCTGCAGATACTGGTACTGGGAGACCTGGTGTAGTACCTGTTGCTGATAGATCTGGAACTGTTGAAACTGTTGCATTTGAGCCTGCATGGTCCGCATGCACTGCACCAAGTCCTCCAGTTGGTTCGAGTTGGCCGCTGGGGGCACAACTGAGGGTCCGGTGAAGGTTGTTCCGACTATGGTAGGGAGTGGAGCAACGACGGGTGCCCCTGTAAGAGGCACGTTCAAACTAGGGATCCCGTCCGCTGAGAGGGAGATGGTGAACTGTCCGTTATAGACAGTAGGAAGCTGGGGCTGTTCCCTGGAGTTATCCATCTCCATGCTTCATCTGATGTTGCTTGAGGAAGCCATGAGTGTTGAGTTTTCAAGGAAGAAAGAGCTGTGAAAGTTTAGAGAAAGGCTTTTCGAAGCGTTTCCCACAAACGACGCCAAATGATGTAGCGCAATCCGGTCACTCCTAGCTGGCACTCGCGTGGCTCCTGGAAGGTACCTGAGAAGAAGAAGAATCCCGGAGGGAGTTACCCGGCGGGAACACTCCGATGATTAAGTTAGTACTCGATAGGAGAAGCAAGGAGAAAATGAAGGCTAAGATCAAGATGATACCTCTCCTCCTTGATACTAAGCTCCATATAGCAGAAATCCATTACCTCTAGCCCATTGGCCTCTGATAGGGCGGGTATAACCGCCACTGCCAACCTACCATAGTTGTTATTGGCAGGGCTGAGCTGGCACATGCAGGGCCGTCACTGCTGGGTACGTGCCTGTCAGGTGTAAGACACCTTCTAAATGTGACAGGTACGATGCTGCTTGACGAGGGACATGGCTACTGTCTCTAGGCTTGTCGGGTACGGCGGTCGGGCAGGAGATCTCCTTGATCTCCTTCATGCAGCTTGCCGAGTTGCCACATACCGGGCTGCATTGAGGCAGATCGATCCCTGCCTCGAAGCACCGAGGTGCTCCCTCCCAAGGGGGGGGGGGCTTGGGGTTCCTTAGGGGGAGCCCAGGCTCTTCGAGCTAGACGGGAGACTAACTCACTGAGGTGTTAGTCCTCGGCGAGTTGTCAGTCTTTGACCCGACGCTTCCTTCCCGTCAAGTCGAGATCGTGCTGTCAGGCTGAACTGTTCACCAAGCCAGGTCATGCGCACATGTTCTCAGGCCACGGGGCTGGGCCAAACCGTCCTCCATCAATTTTCTTTTTGTTTTTTGGAATTTGATAACTATTATACTTAAAATTGTCAAATAATGTAACAATAACAATTGCCAAATAATTATAAAAATTATCAAATGTAAGTTAAAAGAAATTACCATTATTAGACATAAATTACCAATATTTATAAAAAATTACTAAAAATAAATCAAATGAAATTATCACAAATTAGTAGACTTTAGGATGATAATTACTTGAAATTATCAAATAATATAATCCTAAATACATTAAACTAATTTGCCAAAAATTATCATAAATTAGTAGAAATGTCCAAAAATAGCCACTAAATTCCATAAAATTGATAAATTACTAAAATTTACCAATAAACTATGATATAATAAATATAATACATTAGTATATATTTACCAAGAAATTAGTTTATAATAGAAATTACCAGAAATTAGTAGAAATTATATAATAGAACTAATTTCCACTAATTGACCAATAAACTATGATATAATAAATATAATACATTAGTATATATTTACCAAGAAATTAGTTTATAATAGAAATTACCAGAAATTAGTAGAAATTATATAATAGAACTAATTTCCACTAATTGACCAATAAACTATTATATAATAAGTATATATTGACCAAGAATTCTCATAAATTAATATAATGAGAATTACCAGAAATTAGTAAAAAATAACCACTAATTTCCATAAAATATTATATTTACCAAGAATTATCATAAATTTTTATATAATAGAAATTACCATAAATTAGTAGAACTTAGGGAAAGTAACCACTAATTTCCATAAAATATGATAAAATAGATGAAATTAGTATAACTTTGTAAAAATAACCATTAAATTCCAAAAATTAGTAGAACTTAGATGATAATTACTTCAAATTATCAAATAATATGAACTTAAATAAATTACAATAAATTGTCAAAAATTGTATTTCATTTTCCCATTCATCGCACGGGTCCCTACTGGTAAAGAATTAAACAAAGAACTTCTGTCTTGGATCTTCTCTCCATCAAATACATATTTTTCATGGATATCACTTTCTTGAGTGCACCCCGACCCCAAGGTGGCAATTTCAGCACATTCCTCTTTAGACAAGGTCTACAAGATGATAATATTCGGCTCGGGTGGTTGTCCAGACTTAAAAAAACCATTTTCAAGTCTGATGAAAATGATTTAGACTTGTGGATTCTTTCTTTTTCTAGTGTTGCAAAATTTTCATTAATTGATTTTTATTTTGAAAATTAGAAGAATAGTAGAGGGTAAATTCAACATTTCATTTCTTTTCGTAAACACTTAGAGGTGATGTCAATGCTCAGAAATAGTTGGAATACTTTAAGATAATATATAAACAATAAGGGTTGAGTTAGTTAATTAGCTAAACCATAAAAAAATACTCAAAAATAGTGACAAATAACAAACAAAATTAAGTAGCTGGTGTGTATGACTTTTTTTTCTCCTTTGGGCCAAGATGTACAACCTGTTCTAACCAAGATGGAGGCTGAACCTACCAGAAAGGCAGAAGCCAACGTCAAGCAAACATTTTTCCTTTGGGCCAAGACATGGGCCGCTTTGCTATTCCCAATCTATACCATATATACCACCCCTTGAATCTTCTTGACTGAAAATAGTTTAGGCCCATGTTAGGTTTGATCCGAAACAAACTTGATCTAATATTAAGAATTTTGGTTATTACACCGGCTGGAAATGTTTGAAAAAATAAATAGAGAATGCCTATATATCTTGTTAGGCTTACATATATTTATTTCATTTAATCTGCTAACTAATGAGAAATCATAGTAGTTCAAGATCCGATATAATCTTTAAAGCATTGCCATTAAAATTTTTGCATCATATCAAGGTATATGGGCCTACCAAGGCGCCTAAGCCTTGTTTTTTGAATTTATTTTCGCTCCTTGAATTAACATCCCCCTTAGTTACAATAAAAAAAAAGGAATTAACACCCCATTGAATGCACATGTAACAAGGGACTTTGAAAACTAAAAATAAAAGTTAGTAGTCGCCCTATAAACCACATCCTGTTTGTGAATTTGGCATCAATCGACGGGCAGAATTCAGTCCGCCCCTAGGTGGAGTTAGGATTTCCTAGGGGTAGACTGAATCTTGCCCAATTCACAGGCTTGATTAAGAAATGAGTCAAGATTGAGTTTATGAGTTTTTGACTCGAGCCGAGTTTGAGTCTTATACTATTCAACTTGGCTTGATTCGAATCCACCCCTAAGAGAAAGGCCAGGCTTATTAACTCTCAAGCATTTGTTATTGGTGATGCTACTCGAGCCAATTTTGGGCTTTTTATGAGCTAGATCTAGCACTAGATTAAGAAAAAGGGTAAATTACAAAGACCCCCTCATACTATGGGGTCTGTGATAAAGACCCCCCTGTATTTCGTTTTGCGACAAAACCCCCTTTATACTATGATTACGAGACAAACACCCCCTTCTGTTAGCTTTCCGTCCAAAAAGACTGTTATAATATTTTTTAATCCCCATACTACCCTTTTAAATAGAAATTTTAACTAGATCTCTAGTTCAACAGTTCGCTTGAACAAGAAGTTCGCTTGTGTGATGTTGAAAAGTTCAAGCACACGACTCTTGAGTCCATTTCAACAGAGATCTCTGTTCAAATATCTCTGTTTGAGTCCAGTTCAACAGATATCTCTGTTGAACAGTTCGCTTGGCAGAGATCTCTGGGATGATAAGCCCATTTCAACAGCCAGAGATCTCTGGAACGATGTTGAACAGTTCGCTTGGCAGAGATCTCTGAGTCGAAAGTCGTAAGAATGGGCAGTACTGGCTTTCACGGCCAATGCTGCCATGTCGGAAGCCGTCATGCGGTAGTGCTGCCATTTCAAGAGCCAGAGATCTCTGAGTTGGAAGCCGTAGGAATGGGCGGTACTGGGTTTCACGGCCAATGCTGCCATGTCGGAAGCCGTCAGGCGATAGTGCATCCGGGTGAGGGGGAGCTGTCCATACTGGAGTTGCTGGGCGGAGTGCAAGGGTGGAATGAGGGAGTCGTAGAAAAACTTGTCGGAGTTGTAGATGAAGCACGACGACGTCTCCATTTCGAGGGCCTGGGATAGTGGGATACCGTAACGGGGGATGTGTACTCGCGGAGCTTGCCGTCGGCGGAGATGACTTTGACTGTTGGGGAAGCAGAGGATTGCACCAGATCAGTTTGGATAGTAAGTGTTTGGGAAAATTCCTGTGAACGCCAAAAGACAGAGAGAGGGAGAGGGTGAACGTGACCAAGCTCGTGGATTGCACCAGATCAGTTTGGATAATTGATTAAGATCTAGAGGGAGAGAACCGCGGAGAGATTTCTTGGGAAGTTGATGCCAGTGACTCGATTGGCATTGTCACAGGTAATGCCGGTCTATATGCAGGGATTGTTGCCTGACCAGTCTGAAGGGCACCTACAAAGCGAGGCCGCGACCTTTTAAGACGTGAAATTGCAGAAGTGCAAATTCAGAGAAAAGACTTCACTATGTTTTTTATTATTTTAATTAAGTTTCTTATTCTTCATATGTTTCTTTCAGGCACGATTCTGTTCTCTCCATTAACACTTAAATGAGTTTCTAAATCTGAAAGAAAAAACAGCGAAAGCAACTTCTCATCATCAACATCAATGATATGGTACGCAATTCGGCCGGTCCTAGCCGTCAACAATCTTGCCTCTGGCTGGAGCAGAAGGTGCCTGAAACGGGGAAGAAAGCGAGTATCTCCGGGGAGGGACCCGGGTGAGAGTGCTCCGAAGCTCAAGTTAGTATCCTCAAAGGCAAGATAATAAACTAGATGGCGCAAAGTTTACATACCTCATTCTTAGGGGGGAAAGAGCCTTTTATAACCACTTCGCGCACTCATTCCCAAGCTCCTGTCAAGTCGGGCATCATTACCTCTGCGCTTCTGCCAGTTCGGGTGTCGTCACCTCTGCTGGGGCAGACAACCGCCATTGCTCTTTGTCGGAGCCGTCTCTATGACTGGAGGTGGCGGTGGCAGGTGGCTGTTGAAGTGCGGCTGTGAAGCGTAAGATCCTAAGTCAGTCAGGTGCGCCGCCTCAAGATACGGATTCCTTTGGTGTCAGGTACGATTGTTCAGTTCGGCGGCCTGGAGCCGAAATGCTGGAGTGGTGTGCGAGGTGGTCTTGAGTTCGGGTAGAGGTGTGGCCCGAACTGCCCTGGGGCGGGCCAGTTCGGGTTTTTGCCCCTTGCGCTCCTCATAAGGATCGGGGTCAAAGGGGGAGTTCGGGCTCCTTTTGGGGAGCTCGGACTGCTGATTCTTCCTCTCGGAGCTCGCGCCTCGAGCGTACTGCCGTGTCGAGTTGTTGCTTTTGCCACGTGTTGGGTGGTCAAGAGGTCGGGCCAAATCTTCCTTCATTAGTAATCATGTTAATATAAGGTAAGAATGAATTGAGTCCACGAAACTCGATTAATTCGGTCACAGAGTAATTCCTTGTTAACTCAAAATCCCACTTTTTTTTTGTTACCTTTTTTTTATTTTTATAAATCATCACTGAATCAGACATTTATGACCATGAATCGAACTGATTAGTAGCTAATTGGTTGCCCTTCTGAGTTTGCCTAGCAGCCGACCAGTCTGAAGAACACGCGGCGAGTTTTCCCATGATCACGACATCATCGGCGACAATTATAGATACGAGATTGAAGACGGAGAAGAAAAAAAAGGGAAGATAAGAAATGAGTTTCCTCTCTTTCTTTCATTTCGGAGAGTTGGGAGAGAGAAAATGAGAGAAGACGGTGAGGAAGGGGAGAAGAAGAAAAGAAAGGAAAACAATAGGTTAAATAGGTTTTAAGAAAAAAAGGGCAAAAAAAAAAAGAAAATAGAAAAAGTTTAATGGGATATTTTGATAATTTAGTGCATTTCGTCATCTGACTTAACGGTCAAGGGGAGGGGGTCTTTGTCTCATGGGCCATAATAAGGGGGGTTTGTAATTTACCCCCAAAAAAAGACAGAAGTTCAGCCTATCTGTATACTACCTTCTTGATGAAAGTATCTGCCATTAGGATTCTTGATCATGAGCATTAGGGATTATAAGCTTCTTCGACTCTAAAATCCAAACACAAGATAAGGGGATAAAGAAAGAAATGATTGAATTTCTTAAGTTGATTTTGAGCAATTTGCTTTTGAGCCAACATGGGTCTTCATAGGGGCTAAAATTTACCGTGTTAGACCGGGCTTGAGTTTGTTGATCAGGGGCTTAAGCCTTTTGATTAAGAAAGGACAAAAAGAAAAAAAGAAAGAAAACATTTTCTTTTTCAAGATATTACGGGGGTTGTATTTCTTAATGCATGCCAAAATACATACTAAAAGTAACCTAAATACAACTTTATTTATTTATTTGTCTCTCTATTCAACTAAAAGAAACTTATGATATAAAACAAGAACTTGGTAGTATTTTCTTCGCCAATTCCTACTGAGAAGAAGAGGAGCAATGACACCCCAAAAGCCCAACACATAAGATATTGCCAAACATGAATAGAAGAACAGGTTCTCATCCATCAACTTTGACCATAAACCTTTTTGCTCTTCTTCATAGCCATTGTTGGTTTGTGATGATGGGCCAGGAACCAATAAACAGTTCACTTTTAATGGAGGCCCACAAAGTCCTGAGTTCCTAATGTAACTGCTTTCAGTGAAAGTGATGAAATTTTCCTCGAATGGGATCTTTCCAGACAGATGATTGAAGGCAACATTGAAAGTAGATAGAGAATGGAGCTGAATTAATTGAGGAGGGATTATTCCTTCTAACGTATTATAAGAAAGATTCAAACTTTCCAATTGTTCTAACCCTTGAAATGATTCAGGAATGTGGCCCGTTAAAAAATTACTTGATAAATTTAATGAGTGCAGAGCTTTCAAATCACCCATTTCAATTGGAATATGCCCTGATAGTTGGTTCACTGACAGGTCCATTCCAGTCATGAAGAAAAGAGGATAACCTTCGTAGGAGTATTCATTGCCCTTTGTGGCAAAAGGGATTTTGACTTCATTATAACTGAAATCTATGTTTGAAGATGTAAATGCAAATCTTGGAGGAATTTCCAGAACATAATTTTTTTTCCATGCTGTAATGTTGTTGATACAGGAAGGTATGATCCCTGTCAGCTGGTTATTTGACATGTCCAAGGTGTGTAATTTTTTCATCTGGCATAATGAATTCGGAATTGACCCTACAAAATTGTTTGCTTTGAGAAGGAGTGAACCCAAATTAGGAAGGATGGGCAACCAATCTGAAAAATAGCCAGATAAATTGTTCATTCTTAAGTCTAGGACATTTAGAAATGGGACACTTGATACATTGATAAGGACGGTTTTATGAAGAAATTTCCATCAAGACGCAAAATGCCTAAGTTTGGCATTTGGGAAAGTCTTGGCATAGTATGCAACTTGTTGTTTAATAAAGCCAGTTGTAATAAAAGGGTGTTATTTTAGGATAATTTCTTGGGTACTTTACCTGTCAAGGCTAAAGGGATGAGAGATCTATTGTATGGATGCCCAAATCTTGCGGAATAAGGCGAGCGAATTTCAAAAAAAAAATTTCTCTCCCTTCAACTGGGAATCACATTCCCTATTTAGAAAATCATATTTTCAAAGATCAATCTTGAACCATAAACTGAACCAGATCTGAACCAAAAGGAGTAGGAGAGGATTATACCTGATATGGAGAAATAATATCTCCCAACGAAGGTGTTCACGCCCAAGGAAGGATCCAAAGACTGCTCCCACTGAAGATGGCGTAGTGTAGGATGGAGCAGAATCTGCAGTGTTATTCTCCAAGAACTCTGTCATTCGCAAGAAATAGTAGGATGGCACGTGAGCACAGATTCCTATCAATTCTTTCTCAAAGAACTGATGTCAAGATCGAATATTGACTTCTCCCACAACTGGAGATCGAACTAGCAAATTGGGTAGCAAGAACAAGGAGGCGGCAAGAAAGAATTTTGCAGGGTTGCTTAATTCTTCCTTCTGTGTTTTTTCAGCTTTAAAGAGGATGTGAGTATGTCTCTTCTAAAGGCTGCCGCCTCCTCCTTCTTTTGTAACCCTAAAAGATCAACTCCTAATCCAATTAGGAGCTACTGATCCAATTTGCATCAGACATTTCTTTAGGTGATAAGGATAAACCCTTATTTTATTTGTAGATTAGATCAGTCTTCTCCTAATTTCATTAGAAGGTTTCTAGATCTGAATCATATTCAGATCTGGACTCTCTGAGTGGATGGGGTTAAGACCCTATCCTATTTGCTGATCCATCTCAGAATTCGCCCATATTTAACTTATTAAATTAGTCCAGTTCGAAATGGGCTTTAGGCTCATTAAGCTTATGTGCTCACTTAGT